TCTTTTAAACCTTAATATTTTATAAATATTTGTGTTCTAACTTAAGCCTAAAGCTATATACATTACTCTGTTAGAACACAACTTTATTGGGAACAAGGAAAGATGGTATGAGATGGGAGGTAAATTATTGAGAAATCCATTCTAAAGAGAGGTTGAAGGTGTTTAGTTGCATTTAAATCTAAGCTAGCTTTTACTGGGAATTTTTAGTAATGGATAAAACTAAGGAATTATATTTTCAATAATGATTTATAATACTTGAATTAGTTAATATATTCTAGGATAGTTAGATATATTGCTTTTAAGGAATTATATTATAAGATATTTCTCTATATTTCAAAATTAATAATTTCTTATTTATTATATATTTAATATAAAATGTTTATAATTTAGAAAAATGTATTTATAAGTCAAAAATATGTACATTAAAAATACTAGCTTATATACAAAAGCAAGTGTTTTAGATTGATGAATATATATGTATATTCCCCAATGTTACATAGGGACTAAAACAATATCAAGAGCACATTTTTACAAAGTGAAATTTAGGTGACTCCATTGTGAAACTTAAAGCCATTTGCTATACTTTACAACATTTGAAAAATGCCATGGAGTGTTCCACCACCAATGTGGCTCTAGTGCCAAAACAATACTTGATCACGATGTGACTCCAACTCGTAAATCCAAATGAGGTGTGAACATTCTTGAACTCATAGTCGAAGCATGCTCCTACTTCCTATATATGGCCTATCTTCAAAAGAGTCTTAACCTAATGTGCCACCATCTCCATAACTGCTACTGTCTCTGTCATATGTCAAGGTTAGCAAGATTGCATAAATCTTACCAAAAAAACTCTATTTTTAGAGCCTTTACAATTGTTTTGAGAGTCTTTTAGGACTGAAACAATTTGCCAGCACTAAAAGTAGAGGGATGATCTTAACCATTAGGCATTGCTAACCTACTAACTACCACCTAAGAACCTTTAGGGCTTAGGGTCAATCTAGACTTATTGGATCTTGGATCTGAATGAAGTGCCACTACTAGGAGTGCTTCTTGCCACATCCAAAATACCAATTGTGAAGTCAAATTAAGAAAAAGAGAAAAAACCAAACCATAGGAGTGAAAAGAATAAAAGAAAAACCTAAACTTTGCCATAACCACTCCACTAGAACTATCCCTCTTCTTTACCTCAATCACCCCCTAAACTCGAGTAAGTGTTTTAAATTGAACCTAGCTACAAAAATCCCATTATATTAATAATAGTATATAGTATTGTATTTGTCCATTTGAATGTCATATCATCCCCTCCTTTTTGGTCAAAATGTCAAGATGTAAAGGAATATCAAAAGGAGGAATTAGTGGATCTATAGGTATGCAATTTGTTCTTGATATATTTTTACAAAGCACTTTATTCATTACACTTCTATAATTTTTGGAGGATCAACTTACTAAATGTTGTGTTAAACTTTATGAACTTGCAACCCAACTTACTGTAACACTCAATAGGCCCTTAAACAAATGATATATTATAAGATTGTGAAAATGAACTCAACACCATATTGATAATCTTTTTGATTGTATTACATGATTTTAGGACCTAGCATGTAACTTGTGGTAATTGCAAAGGTAAACTCATCTTTCTTGATTATAAAAGATTATGACCATATAAAAATTTATATGGTAAAACACCAACAAATTCTACACTCTTATAATATATATACATACTAGAGAGATAGGAAATAACTATCCCAACCCGAATGCTAAAAGTTCACATATTTGTGATCATCTTTTTAAAGGTCTTAATAAATTATTTCACTAAACCATTCATTTATAAATGATAAACACTTATGAAAGTGTAGTATGTTCTCATTTGAGTTGTCAAAATATGAAATCCCTTCGCTATAAACATATGACCATTATCCAAGAGAATTTACTTTGGACAAGACTCAATTTGATTGAGGAGAAAATATTTAATAACAATTTTAGATGCACTAACAATACCATTAACTTCCACTCAATAAATTAAGTAGTTAAAAGTAAAAATGTCTTCATTGTTAGCAATCAATTGCAAAAAAGTCCCATCAAATCAAATATCATTAGCTCAAATGGATGAAGAATTGAATTAACTCACCCCCATGAATGTATGCTTTGGGCTTTCACTTTAGTCCTAGGAGTTAATCTTTAGAATAATATTGAAAAATTATTAAATATGGAATGGTGTTAAATTGTGAATTAAGATGTGGGAATAACACCATAGTGTTTAGGATACTTTCTACATTCTATAGATATGCCTCTCAGTTTGATCTATTATCTTACCATAAATAGCATATGAAACCAAAATAAAGCATAATAGTGAAGGTGTCTAGCGGACATAGTAAACTATTATATAGTAATATTGAGGGATTAGGCTTAATATGCACTTAGCAAAAAACACATAAGAGTTTCTACTTTATATTTATCTGGCTAAGTATAGATGCTAAACCCAATTTACTAATACTTGGACAAGAAGGGCTAACAAAAGTAACTAATAATACCAATCTCTTGTTATTATGGTAGTGTCTATAAAGACTAATTGACAAGTATTCTTCTATACCCAAAGTCATATTTGTTATATGTAAGATTCTCAAACTTATCATAAAGACTTTAGATTCACAGCTCAACATTTTTAGCCTTATGACCCTTATCTAAAGAAAGTAAATTCAACTTTATTCCTTGTGAACATTGAATATTAAGCACAACAATTGCTAATAGAATACAATCCTCATCTAGAAAATCCACTTTTGAATTTTAGGAATAAGAGAAGAGAGAGAAGAAAAAAGAACTTAAGAAAGAACATTAGTATTAACAATAAAACTCTCTAAAGTTTATAATTGCACTCAATTTAAGTTTTAATTTTATTTTGCTTTATCTTTAGTGAGATAGTGTAAATGGTATATAATCAATTGGTATGGCTTGATTTTAAGCCATACCAATTAATTATATACCATCTACAACAATTAAAGCTCAAGCTCAAGATTTCCATATATATATATATAGTTAGGTTTACCTCATCCCATGCACATGTATATATAAGTTGTTGCCATAGAAAATGAAGATTGGCTCTATTGCATGAGGCAAATATATATAATAATATGTGTCAACAGGCTAAGCATTAAAAGATAAACTCAAATTTATTACAAAGAAGATAATAAAGACCTCCTTTTATAAAAATGAGCTTGGAAAGTTTATAATAGATGAATTAGTGTAAAATAAACTCTTTGATAATATTTTGAAAGAAGGATGAAAGGTTCATTAATTTATTCACGCAATGACCCTCTACTGCTCATATCGACTCTTTGTTTCTTAAAAGAATTTCTTTGTCAAGACTTTCCACTACAACAATATTAAACACAAAGCCTTCACCTAAGAAATAAAGGATATCAATCTAAGAAATGTCAACAATACTAATATATGTAACCAATATCACCATACACTCAACAATGAATATCATAACCATGTCTTTGTTTTAAATATAAGAAATAACATTAACCTCAAATCATCTCCCTAAAGAAGTGGAGTTAAAACACATATAGATATAAATGTGAAAGATGATATTTTATACCATTATCCTAATTGTGAAGGGTAAGGGCAAGTGTATATATAGATCTTGACAAATAGTGGCCATAACATGTTTAAAGTTGGTTCATTTTGACATATTTAGCTTGCATAAAATAGAACAAATTGCATAATTGAGTCAAACATCCCCTAATAAAGATGATGCAATTGTTGAAAGGTACCATTATAGTCATTAACATGTCCCTTGAAGACATATAAAAAATTCATTTAAACATCCCAAAAATGATATATAATAATCACTATAAAGTAATTGAATCAATTGTACACATCATCCTTAATATTCCCATAGAAGAAATTCAGCTGAACACAAGGATTGGCTATAATATCAAGAAGAGCTACATCCTGTGTTATGAATGCTAGCATTAATCAAATTTGATTATCTAACTACAACAACATAACATTAAGAATTATACGAGTTATTGCTTGAGGATGAAGAGGATAGTGCAAAGGAGGATTATGTTACTTTACCATGAAAATGAACAAAAAGAAAAGGAAAAATAAAAAATTACAAGAATAAGAGAAATTTAAATTTAAAAATCCAAACACTTTTTAGGGACAATTAGAACTATACGTAATATGAGTGTATAGAATGTGTATATTCAATTATGCCAAAACTTTAGTTTAGCAAATGGTCTAGATTGAATTTAATTTAATGGCTACCAAAATCCCACTATGTTAATAATAATATATATTAATAAAGCAATACACATATTTATTTTTATGCTATTATATAAATAGCATTGGCTATAATAGCATTACCTATTGTGAGAGAAGAAGGAAACTTGACATATATAACATGCATACATGGGAAAGAGTTAAATGGGGAAATTACTACTCATTCTCTGAATCTCAATTCCACTAGGGCCACTCCCTCAACTCTATCCCTCTTATGGAGTGAAAGTTAAAGCTTTTGAATTAGCCATTGGGATCCATGCAAATTTGATGGTGCTCAATACATTGGACAGCATGCAAGCAAATTCATGAATTGAAATCTTAATATCAAATACAAATATTCATTGAGGGGTTGGCTCTCTTAATTTCCGTAAGTACTTAAGATTAGTATTAGACATTGCTTGGTAGTGGGATAATAAACAAGATTGCTAGCTCCAGCCAAAATAATTTATTTACTAATCCACAGAAAGTGTCCATCTTTTATTGATAATATGTGGATCAAAAAAACTTTGCCAACGGGGCAGCTTATGCTAGGCAATGTCTAGTGAACTTGATAAAATTGTCCATGTGTGCTGGTGTAAGGGTGAGAAAGGACAAAGTTTAGGGTTTAGAGCAAAATTCAACCGAAAAGATTCTTAGGAGAATATTCGCCAATCGTGTCCATTAATCGCGGCCGTTGAGAGCAAGCCGGATGGATTTTAGGGTTTTTGCGGCTGCAAAGCAAACATCAATGACCAGCGAGTTTTGACGAGGGAAACCTTCTTTGCCCCTCCCCCTTAAGATCTTGTCTCGCGATCTCTTCCCCTCTCCCGCGGCCGCGCGAGATCGGTCAGATCAGTGGGGTGTCTCGTAGGTACGAACGAAAAATTAGGTCTTGAAAGGGAATTGGGCACACGGACCCTCGCTCTCTCGCTCGCTCGCTTCCATGGCCACCCAATTCGCGATTGGCCTCGCGGCGCTGGAGAATCCCGTCGACCCTCAAGGCGATTTTGATGACGATCACGAGGAAGGCGAGATCTCGGACGACGATGACGATGTTTTCGTCGCCACCGCCGCCGCCGAGCGCATCGAGTCGTCTGCGGCCGTTTCCACGTCCGGGAATGGATCGATTCGATCGCCCAGAACCCAGCACCACGTAAACTCTGGGAGAAGAGACTCGGAGAGCAAACACGATAACTCGATACAAACGGTGGTTAAACTAGTTAACAACGTTAGCGTGGGGAATGCATGCAAGTAAGTTTATTCTCTGTTATATTTTCGTCCCTCTTCTCTCCTTTTTTTTTTCCTTCCGGGATGGATATGGAATGTTTGATGGAGCTTTTGGTGCTTTCGCAGGTCTCCCAACGACGCATGCGCCCAGCTCCACGATGCTTTGCAGATTTTGGAGGAGCTGGATCAACCATCTAACTGCGAGTTGGTTCAATCGCTCGTGTTGAAGATTTTAGACAAGATCCGGATCGTTTACTGCGTAAGTGTGCTGGATTTCCTGTTCTTGTTTCTCACTTTGCTGATGGGATCCATCAGGTTTATAACGCGATAGGAGACGAGCAAAAACCCGGAGTCCTGCAAAGGTTTGTTATTTTTGTACAAGGCAATCGCTCACATTTTTTTCTTTCTCCAGTCTGGCTAAGCTGGCGAAGTTCTACACGGATAAGCTGTTCACGGCGAAACAAGTGGAAGAAGTGAGGAGACTTTTGCTCATTTTTTTCTTGATTGAGGATAACACCCGGAAAAAACTCTGCAGCTCAAGGGTCTGTATGAAGCCGTCAACCCAAAACTCGAGACTAGCAGCGATGGTAAGGAGCACGCTTATATACCGTGGGATGGAGGGACGAGCGGTGAGCACCCAACCTCGTCCTCACTGACGTCGTACACACACTATATGTCTGCGTCGTTCCCGATGGATGCTCTTCCTCCCAGCCCGACTCCCTCGAAAGAGGACGAAGCAGCGAGATACGGGAAAACTTTAACTGACAAAACCGAGACCGATTCTCAACCAGTTTTAAAACCCCGAGATCCCCGACGTGGTGCCTTGGAAGGAAACCCCTCCAGAAAACGAGAAGCGTTAAAGCCCGACTCACAAGCTTCTAAGCGTCAGAAGCTTCAGAGCGAGGCGGCTCCCCGCAGTGGAGGATGGCTGGAGCCCGAAGCTAAGGATGGCAAATCCATACTGGTCTGTTTACATCCTTTCATGTTTTCCTTGCTTCATTCTTCTTTGTTTTCCGTTTTTTATCAGATGAAACCTCGCGATCCAAGGCGTGCACTCTCCGAGACCACGAATCAGGAGGAGCAGCATATCACAAGTCTGGAAAATGGTACTGTGCGACCACCAAAGCCACCAGAGTTGAGGAATCAAGTGAAGGACACGGTTGAAGTTCTTCCTCCTTCCAACATTCCAGGATTGTTTCCCAGCATTCCGGGACTAGAAGCGGGCTCTCCTCCCGTTTTACAGAATGGAACCGAGTTAGACATCCATCCGGAACTGCAAGAGTTTTTGATTGACCTCGACGAGGCGGAGCGCATTGCTTTTATCAAGGAGAGACAACGGAGGATGGACGAGCAGGACAAGATGCTGAGTGAAAAGAAGCTGTGCCTTGTGCTGGACCTTGATCACACACTCTTGAATTCTGCAAAGGTGATTACTCTTGTTGCATCTTATTTTGTTGTTTTTGCTTATGGTTTTTTATACTTCTTTTCTGCCAGTTTATGGAGATCGAGCAAGAATGGGATCGATTTTTGCGTGCCACCGAGACCATCGAGCGGAACAAAGACGCGAAAGAAGGAACTCGGAGGGAACTTTACCGGTTTCCTTACATGTCAATGTGGACAAAGCTTAGGCCTGGCATTTGGAGATTTCTCGCACGGGTGATTATCTTTCTTCGTTTTCTTTTTTCGATTGTTGAAAGGTCTTTCTTAAAAACGTGTTTTTTCTTGTTTCCAGGCAAGCCAACTTTACGAGCTTCACCTCTACACAATGGGCAACAAAGCATACGCAACCGAGATGGCCAAGCTTCTGGATCCAACTGGAGTCCTCTTTGCTGGCCGCGTGATTTCTAAAGGCGATGACGGTGATGCGCTCTACGGTGACGAGAAGACCCCGAGGAGCAAAGATTTGGATGGAGTGCTTGGAATGGAGTCGGCAGTGCTTATCATCGATGACTCTGCACGCGTCTGGCCACACCACAAAGATAACTTAATCGTGGTGGAAAGGTATACCATCTCCCGGGTCCCTCTTTTAAAGTTCCAAGTTCTTTTTTTCTCTCTTTTTTCTGTTCCTCTTGGTCTTTGTGATCTTCGTTGTTTTCTCTTTTTTCTGTTCCTCTTGATCTTTGTGTTCTTCGTTGCCTTGCTGACGATTAGAGACTTTGCAGATATATGTATTTCCCGTGCAGCAGGAAACAATTTGGACTGCCCGGCCCCTCGCTTTTAGAGGTGGGACACGACGAGAGAGAAGCCGATGGAATGCTAGCATCCATACTAGGAGTAAGCCAACAAAACAAACTCTTTTCTTCCCTTGCTTTCGTTTCTTTTTCGTTTCTATCGAGCGAAGCTTACTTTTTACGAGCCAGGTGGTCGAGCGAGTTCACGAGGAGTTTTACTCCCGGCCGCTTCCAAAGGAAGTCGATATCCGGGAGGTTCTCTCCGTTGTCCAGAGACGCATTCTCGGTGGCTGCAAGATCATCTTTAGCCGGGTTTTCCCCGTCGAGGAGACGCAGCCGCAGCTCCACCCGCTGTGGAGGATGGCCGAGCAATTCGGAGCGGTTTGCACGACGAGGATGGAGGAGGATGTCACGCACGTCGTTGCGATCTCCATGGGAACAGACAAAGTAAGAAACCGATCAAAAACTCGATCAATAGTTGCTCAAACTCGTTTCTTTTTTTCTTTTCTTGTGTTGTGTTATAGTCGAACTGGGCTCTGGCAACTGGGAGATTTCTCGTTCGTCCTGCTTGGTACCGAGACAAGAAGAAAAAAGACCCAACATTTTTCTTCTTCTTATAAGCAGTTCCAAAGCCACTCGGAACTAACGTGTATTTTTTGTTTATCAGGGTGGAGGCGTCCACGGTGTTGTACCGGCGAGCCAACGAGAGAGACTTCCCTGTTCCCCCGTAAGCTTAAAAAAACACACGCGCACGCACACGCACAGTGAGACTATGAAACGAGAGAAACCTCCAAACCGACACCACAAAACAAAAAAACCACGACGCGCTAAACCCTGGATATGCCAAGAATATTCCAAGACGAATATTCTCCCGGGTTGGCGTTAGAATTTGCGGGCGGCAGTGGAGCGGGTGGACTCTCTTCTGGTCGAACCTGTCAGTCAGCGAGCTTCCGTGCTTATACCTTGGGATTGAAGAGAAAGGGCCAAGGGACCCGCAACGCACCAGCTAGCGGGGCATATTCTGCCAGAAATTCACATCTCGGGGCACATTCTGTCAGTTCTTAGGGGTATATTCTGCCCGTGGCTCCGCGGGGAGAATATGCTGCTCTGCTGTGAAGGGATATTCTGGGGGGATTTTTATTTTAATTAACGGGTGTCTACAATTCAAATTCCCGGAGGAGTGGCGGCGGAGGTGAGGTGGAGGGAGGAGACGTCGCCGCCGCCGCCGCTACACTGGCACACGTTCCTCTTGTCTTGTGTCTTTAGGGCGCCTGATCCGCCGCCTCGGTCCCCGGCAGTGCGAGAGAGGAGCATTTATTGCGGCGCGGCGGCGGTCGAGCTCATCAGCGCATTCCTCCACTCCCACGCAATGCGCGGCCCACGATCCCGCTAGGGCTCGCCTGGATTCTTCCGCATTAACACAGAGAGGCTGTGGATCGATCCGATAGGGGATCGCCATGTCTTCGTCTTTCCAGATTGAGAGTGGAGGCGCCGGCACCAGCTATCGCAGCGGCGAGCTCCAGCCAGTGACACATTCTGGACGATACAGGTATGGCAGCGTCCTCTCTCTCCTTCTCTCTTTCTCTTCCGGGGGATTCTTGTGCTTCGATCTCGGATTTGGGGTTTTGGATGCCGGATTGATGGAAATTTTCCTTGTTCCAGGTCGAATCACGATCCCAGCACGAGCTACTACATTCCCACCGGGTCGGGGTACCAATCCCCGCCAGTATATGGGCAGCCTCCGCGACCTGGAATGGCGATGGATGAGGAAGCATTCAAGGACAAAGGGCTGCCCGCGCCGCCCCTGACGTGGAGCGGCCGAATGGAGCGCTTCTTGGGTCTGATGGATTTCACAAACTGTGAGGTAAGCTATGAATTCTTCGGTCTCTCGAAAGAAAAAAAAAATCCTTTCATTTCAGGTGTGGCGTGGAACTCTGGTCGAGCTCGTCGGCTTCTCGGCTTTCCAATTCGCGCTTATAACCGGCATTGCCGCGTGCGTGGATTTCAAGCAGCGAGGAATCGCCATCGCTCTCGTCTACTTCCTCGTCTGGGCAGCGTGCATTCTCGCGGCACTGTCCGTGTGGGTGGGCGCCGGGCATCTCAACCCGATCTTCACATACACGACCATGCTCACGGGCCACACGACCGCGGTGCGAGCAATGCTCTACATGGCAGCGCAGAGCTTGGGAGCTTTGATCGGGACTCTGGCAGCAAAACAGGTGGTGGCGCGGGACTTCGTCGAGAAAAACTCCCTCGCCGGGTGCCTCCTCGGAGAAGTCGTGAGAACCTCTCGGGGGCTCGAGTGGCCGGAGGGACTCACGCCGCGAGCGGGGCTCATCTCGGAGATCTTCTTCACGTTTCTTCTCATTTTCGTGGCCTACTCGACGCTCCTCGAGCCCGGGAACTTTCGCCAGACTGGTCCAATTCTCGCTGCTCTCAGCATCGGTGGCGCGGCAGGACTGTTTACTTTCATCTCGTCGCAGCTCAAGTCTCCATACTACTCGGGCGCTGGGATGAATCCCGCGAGGTGCCTGGGACCGGCCATCGTCCAGGGAAGCACGCTCTGGGATTGCCACTGGGTGTTCTGGGCCGGTCCGTTCATCGCTGGAACCATTTTTGGGGTCGTGTTCCGGCTCGTCGCGAATAAGCAGCCACAGATGCTGACCACCGAGGAGGAATTCTACGCGCCTCCGCCGCCACAGGCCGTGGTTCCGGCTCCGGCACCGACGCCGCAAGAGAAGAGGATGGACGTCTTTCTCCACATCAAGGCGATGCTACACCGGAGCGAGAGCGAGCGGGAGAGATCGAGGTCCCGGTCGAGGAACTTGGTGGAGGAGATGCCGTCGCAACTTTGAGGTTCGTGTACGTGAAAGTTTTTGGATTGGTTCTTGACCGAAAGTTTCGCTGTTTTTCGCATCTCAGGACTGCCGCTGCTGCCGTGTAATGTGTATGTGATTGGTGAAAGCGAGAAGTAGCTATAAATCAAAGGTTGCGGTTACTGGAGAGCTAAGCTTACTTCACTGGTGATAGATGCCTTTGTTAGGTAACTATCTCCGTTTTGCAGGCTCAAAGTTAGGTGACCACACACCACCACCAGTTCGCCCATCAGCGTTGCGACGTCCGATGATCCTGTTGCTATAATGGATCGTGAGCTGGAATCCATGGCGTTTGTACGCAAGTAAACTTTCTTTCGCTTTTCTTTCTCCTCTCCTTCGAAAGTTCTTTGGTTTCTTGCGTGCGTGGGACTCCTTCGTGATGGTGCAGCGAAGCCAAAAAATGTCGATCGATCGAGCAAGCAGCAGCGAGACAACATCAATCAATCAAGCAAGACTTTTTCGAAGAGCTGCTCGCTCGCCACGAGTCTAGGAAATAACTTTTTTTGATTCCACGATTTTGTTCCTCTCCATGATCGAGCTCTCAAGCATTCAAGAATCCAGCTGCCTTAGCAAGCAAAAGTAATAGTCAAAAGCACGGACCCTTGCGCATGATAAGTTTGACGGAAAAATCAAATCTTAGGACCCAGTGGAATATGCTAGTAGAATCTTCTTCTTTTTTTTCAAAATGCCCTAATTAGGGCGCGCCTAGCGCCCAGCGCCGAGAATGGAGGCGCGGGCCGTGGCGCCGGGCATCCAGCTCCTCCGGGCGCGCCGCGCCTCCAATTTCAGCCTCGGATTCTACAAGGCATCGGTTCTAGGGATCACATTCCTCGCCTACGCCGGCTATCACGCCGCGCGCAAGCCGATCAGCATCGTCAAGGCCGTGCTCCATCCGGAGTACTCGGATCCAGGCTTCGCGGTGAGCCCGAGCTCCAATCTCTCCCCGTCCAGCAGCATCGATCCAGGAAATGCCCGGGAGGGGTGGAGTCCCTTCGTAGGGAGTCGAGGTAAAGCCAGGCTCGGGATTATAGATGTAGCTTTTCTAGCTTCTTACGCTATAGGAATGTACTTCGCGGGTCATCTGGGTGATCGTCTCAACCTCCGGTTTTTTCTTTCGGCTGGCATGGCGGGCAGCGGGGCATTCTCGTGCCTGTTTGGGATGGCTTACTGGTGGAAGGTCCATTCTCTAGGCTACTTCATACTCGTCCAGATGGTAGCGGGGGTCTTTCAATCCACAGGGTGGCCGTCGGTGGTGACCATTGTCGCGAAGTGGTTTGACAAGAGCAAGCGGGGATTGATCATGGGGATCTGGAACTGTCACACCTCGGCTGGAAACATCGTCGGCTCGCTGCTCGCGGCGGAGATGCTGCAGTATGGCTGGGGGTGGTCGTTTGTAGCTCCCGGTTTTCTCATGGCTATGGCGGCTTTGGTGGTTTTCTTCTTCCTGGCAGTGGATCCGGAAGAGGTTGATATGTCGTCTTCGATGGCGAGTGTTGGTGGTGGTGGTGGTGGTGCGAGTACGTCGGGGCAAGCAGCGGCGACTGAGCTGATAATGCTGAGGCAACCGCAGAGCATGGGTGGGAAGTTCCATTCGGTCATGATCGACGGGAGCTCGTTACAGGGCCTGGATATAAATGGCGACGGTGAGGAGTTTAGGGAGGTTTCTCTCGCGCCAGGGACGAGGAACGACTCGGCTGTGGGGTTTTTTGATGCCTGGATGATTCCAGGCGTTGCACAGTTCGCACTGTGCCTGTTCTTCTCCAAGCTGGTGGCTTATACGTTCCTCTACTGGCTTCCGTTCTACATAAGGCATACTAGTAAGTGTTCTTCGAGTTTTTGTGTTATATATAGTTCTAAGCGTTTTTTTATGTTTGTTTGGGCAGAGATCGCTGGCAACTATCTCTCCGATGGAATGTCGGGTCGATTGTCCACACTTTTCGACGTGGGAGGTATGTTTGGAGGCGTTGCTGCTGGCTACATTTCGGATCAACTCAACGCGAAAGCAACCACGGCGGCAACTTTTCTCTACGTTGCCGTCCCAGCGCTGGTTCTGTATCGCGTCTATGGCAGCTCGTCTCTAGCCGGCAACGTCGTGCTCATGGTCTTCCTGGGAGCTTTCATCAACGGGCCGTATGCTCTCATCACCACAGCCGTGTCCGCGGACCTTGGCACTCACAGCTCGCTCAGTGGAAGCTCCAAGGCTCTGGCAACCGTGACCGCTATCATCGATGGCACGGGCTCCGTCGGTGCTGCTATTGGGCCGCTGCTAACGGGATTCGTGTCGGAGAAAGGATGGGACGCAGTGTTTGGGATGCTCATCACCTCGGTGCTCATCGCTGCGCTGCTGCTCAGCAAGCTCGTCTACACGGAGCTCACTGTAAAGTTTGCGAGCGCAAACGCCGCTCCTTTCCAGCCGCTTGGCGACGATCAGAGTAACGAGATTTTGCTCTTGGTTTTTAATGCTCTAACGTCCTTGTTTCCAGATCAATTCTACTGACTTAGAGCTGTGACAAGCACAAGAACAAAGCGATAGGATTTTTCTCTGCTTGTAGTTCATGGTTGAGGTAATTGTTTCTCGCTAGTGTTTGGGCTCTAACCATTATCGGGTTGGTGTCGTGTGTGGTGCAGTTATCAAATGCTTTATGACAAAATATTCCGCCAACCATGCGTCCTTGCAGAAAAGTGGCTTCGAAGGGAAGCATTAGGCTTATAACAGATCACAAGTAAATTCTTTTGCAACATCAAAAAGATCTACCATGGAAAGGTATGAAGGTTTCTAGTTTGCATGTTATCTAGGAAATTCTTTTTTTTTTTGTATAGTTATCTTTAAACTCTATAGAGGTGTTATTAAAACTCACAAAACATAGAAATGTTTTTAAGTAATTTAGAATGCAATTAAAATTTGATTTGCAAATAAGTTTATAGGTTTTAAATTTTGATTATTGAAAAAAAATTATATTAGAAAGAATATATTTTTTCTTTTTTATAAAACATAGTATATGGAAAGGGAATACAAAAATGTACATATTAATTATCTCAAAAACCTTAATTTATATATAGGAGTGAGTGATTGAAATTAATCCAACGGTTAATATTAGTGTACGACTGTTAATATTAGTATACACAGTGATAATTTTGTATAATTTATGTAATTAATATATAAAAGGTCATATCTTCAAAAATAAATAAATACATTATATAATCCTTGATTATTTGGGGGAGTCAAGCAAAAAGGGATAAACCCATAGATAAAAAAGTCAAGTCTACTAGTAGTGTGGGAAACAATATGTGCTTTAATTACGGTGAAATGGGACACTTTTCAAGTGTCCCTACCTGAAGTATACCAGAGTTAATATGGCCATTAAGTTGGGTGAAACTTAAATTGAGATACATAATCCAGTCCCTAGCTTAAAGATATTCATTACACGAACAACTTTGGTAGAAAGTCATTTACAACATCTACTAGCCCTTTAAAGGAAGCTCGAAGGTAACCTTATTAAGATCTTTACTGATACGGGTGCTTTGGATAATTTTGTGGTTGTAGACATAGTCCGGCAAGCCAAACTAATAGTGTAGCAACTGGGTGAACCAAGAATTATAGAGTTTATTCAAGGTAGCCAAAGCATTGATGAGGTAATTTGACAAGCAAGAGTCGAAGTACAAACATAGAAAGTAGATATGGATTTTATTGTGTTGGATATGGCAGGATTTAACGTGATCTTTGGGATGGATTGGTTCAATTGGTTTATGATAGCTCTGTATGGATAAAGTAGGAACTTTGTGGTACTGACAAATGCTTAAGGAGAATGATCCATGGTGGAGGCCCAGGATTTAAAGGTAGGGCAGAGTAAGGCCAAAGACTCCTGCTTAAACCTGGAGTTTACGAAAGGACAACTCACTAAAGGAACCAAGGCAGCATTTTTGTGCTTATTCTCAGTGAGGAGTGACAAAAAGATGGGAACCGAAGAAATATCTATAGTGATCAAGTGGGTGTTAGACCAATTTCGAGATACCATGCCGAAGGAGTTACTGGTGGGGTTACCTTTCGCACAACCAATAAAATATAAGATTGAACTAGTCGAGGGTGCTAAGGCAATGATTCATCCCCCTTGCTATAGATCAAGATGTTATCAATGTAGATGACCACGAAATGATCTAGATAGAGTACAAAAATGTGGTTCATCAACACCAAGAACGTCATTGGTAGCACAAAGGGCATCACTAAAAACTCAAAGTTTCTATACCTTATTTGACAAGTTGTCTTCTGGACATCTTTCTTTGCTATCTAGATATGGTAGTATCATGATTTTAGGTCAATCCTCGAAAAGTATTTTGCCTTTCCCAACCTATCGAATAGGTCCTCAATCCTTGGTAAAGGGTATTTGTTCTTCTTTATATATTTGTTGAGCAACTAATAGTTTATACACATGCGCATAGAGCCATATTTCTTTTTCACAAATAACACTGATGCATCATACAATGACTTACTCAACCTAACATACCCTTTTTCCACCAACTCCTTAAATTGGCACTTGAGCTCCTCAAGTTCTTTTTTGTCGAACACTTGACGAAGATGTTTGAGAAACTAAAAAAACACCATCTGTATGCTAAAGAGAGTAAATGTGACTTTGCTCAACAAAATGTAACATTTCTTGGGCATATGGTGGGCAAAAATAGGCTCAAGGTGGACCCTGAGAAGGTCCAAGCAATCTAGGAATGAGAATGATCATCGAATGTACATGAGTTAAGGGCATTCTTGGGGCTATGCAACTACTACCGAAAGTTTATCAAACACTAACCGAGAATAGCCTTGCTTTTAATAGACCAAACAGGAAAAGGGAAGATGGTATAAATAGCAGAATGCGAAGCGACATTTGTTCACCTCAAAGGGAAGTTGAGGAAGGCTCCCATATTGGCATTACCAAACTTTAATAAAGACTTTGAGGTAAAAATGGATGCTTTAAACTTTGTGCTAAGCGCAAATTTGAAGCAAGACAACCATCCAGTAGCATTTTTCTTGAAGAAGTTGAACAAAGCTTAACGAAAGTGACCTACCCATGAGAAGGAATTGTTTGCGGTGGTCAAGGCGCTCAAGAAGTGGCAACACTACCTTGGGAGACACTTCATAATTTACACGGATAATGTGGCAGCAAAACACTTTTTGTCAGCCTATCGTAAGAGGGAAATAGGGTCGATGGGCTAATACTTTAGCCGAGTTTGATTGTGAGATTTTTTATAAACCTGGGAAGAGCAACATCGTGGCAGATGCTCTAAGTCGAAAGGCAAGCTTGAAGTTAGAAATATCTAATGTGACAACAACCTTTTGGGATGATTTACAAACAGTGTATGAGAATGATGTTCTAGCATAAAAACTGTTGCTAAAGAACTAGGAGGCATAGGATGCTGACCAGAGAGGGGAGCTGCCTACGAAAAAGAAGATAGGCTATGTGAAATGCAATAGATTCACCTATTATAAATAGACAAGTGTGTATGTTCCACAAAGGGAGTTAAGGAAGGTAACATTAGAAGAGTGTCATAATGGACCTCTTGTAGAACATGGCAGAATGCTTAAGATATTGGGCTTACTTAAGAGGAAGTATCACTAGCCAAATATAGTTAAGGATGTCCAAGATAATGTAAAGACATATTCAACATGTCAGTAGGTCAAAGCCGTGACTAAGGATAGTGGGGGCTTGTTAATAAACCTCCCAATTCCAAATTGTCTATAAAAATTTCTTACAATGGACTTTATTATGGGACTCCCCCTAAGTGAGGGGTTTGATGCGATAATCATGGTGGTGGATTGATTTTCGAAGACGGCATCTTTCATACCCACCACAATGGAAGTGGATGCAAAAGGTGTGGTGAAGATATTTTTTGAACAAGTGGTTCAAGTTCGGGGAAGGCCAAAAGAGATTATCTCATATCGAGATAAGATCTTCACTAGTAAGTTCTAGAGAACTCTCCTAGAATAATATCGCACCAAGTTAAAATTTAGTATAGCCTATCACCCACAAACAGGTATTGGGTATTAAGTCAAGTTGGATGGTGTATATTATATGTTCTTGGCTGCTTGTAATGATTTACCCAATCAGTTTGGTCTCTGAAGATATAGCATTATAAATAATCCTTTAGTTGCCTATTCACCCTTTTTGTTTGTCCATCTATCAAGAAGTGTATATGTGGGGAGTGTAGCTAAACTTTAGGTCCAATATAACCCAAGGAATGGGATTGGGAAAGAGTTTGGAAATTTGTGGATGGATGAGTAACATTTTGTTACTTGTCCAATGAGTTGTTGAATCCAAGTAAGACCAAATAAGAGCTAGTATAATAAGTGAGAACTTTAGCAAGGGAACTAATTGAGGCCAAATTAAAAGTGATTGGATAGATAAAGTAATTTAGCAAATTGGAAAAGGAAAATCTATAGCTTACAAAAGTCTATTATAAAATATTTCCATGGACAATTGGGGAATAGAATGCTTTACAATAAGCCTTTACTTCATGGCCTTATATGTTGAATATATCTTTATATAGTTTTGCACGACCTTAACCATATTGTGGAGCCTACTTGTCTTTGTCACAGGTTGTGGTAGCAGCGACTGTAGGAGTCTGGAATATAAACATATATATGAATGTTTCTTCTAGATCACAAAAACCTTCAGCCTTTCAAAGTGGGATCTTCCAATTGCCCTCCAATCTTTCTTGGGTCCCACCGGAGGTTCTTACTTAGATTGTTAGCATTCCAGTCTCAATCACACTTGGTGAGCTTTTGCAATGCATACTTGGTTTTACTTCTCAGTTAGAGGTTTTTGCCAAGTCCACAGGCATCCCTGTGGAACCTCAACATGTTGTGCATATCATCAAAACTTAGACCACTCATAATCCCGAAGCATTCTTTATGGAGGTCCAAGTTGGCAATAAATCCTCAAAGACACAAGCATTACTTCATTTAGGCTCCCATAGTAACATCATCTCCCTTGACTTGGCACTCTCTAGTGGCTTGGAAGTGGTGAGTAGCACATCCATCATCCTCAAAACGTTTGCTAATCACTCAATGATTCTTGTGGACATCTGCTGAAATATCAAGATCTCGGCGCAAGGAGTGGTTACCATACTAGAGTTTCTTGTTGTGGACTACCAGCAGCTCGGATCTAGGAAGCTGAAGAACTCTATCATCCTAGGATGTCTATGGCACCTTGTTGCTACTTGCACGACAATTTGGGCCAAGGGAAAATCAATAATCACCAATAATGTCCATATAGTGAATCTTCTCAATGCCTATGGCAATTGTTTACTTCCATCTAATTTGTCTCAAGTGAATGCTTTTTCCACCACTGAATTTGACCAGGCTCTCAAGGTTCTTTTCCCAAAACTCATTAAGGATGACATGTTGTTGGAGATTCAAGTTGTTCAGTGCAATATGATCAACTTCTTTAACATGGACTGGACTACATCCACACTTGACTTCTCTACCATAACAGCATAAATCTAGAGATCCCTCAGCTTCAAAAACTCTAGGAATTTCACATCGATTTCTTCACTACTATACAGTGAGGGATCCATCAAAGTGGGTTTCTCCAACCACTTTTCCAACTCTAGCACCACTTGAGGAGTCACATGGGACCCGTACCAAAGATCTCTTAGCATTGACATAGAGTTTGGATGCATTGCATGTGAGCTTGGACATCAACAATCACGAGACAAGGGTTTGTGACACACTTGTTGCTGTGGGGGATCCAGAAGCAACTCTAAGGATGAAGTTGATGAGTTTGTGGCTACTGGGATTGAAAAGCCACTATTTGACCACTTTCTTCTAGGCAAGGGACCACTCTCTTCTAAGCAAGTAGCCACATGCAGTTGCCTCCAGCAAATGCTTGGGAGTGTTATTTGCCACAGCCATGGAGTT